CCACAACGCCGGCCCCGTTATACGTCCTGAGCCCCCCCTCGCCCGCCGGCCCAACCCGCGCGACCGAGCATGTGTGATTCCTTTTTGTTGCCTGGACGCCCCCGGCTGCCCCTGATTCCCGCGGGCGCGCGGCGGGTTTTGTCCTGAGCCCCCCCTTCCCCTATCAACAGTGTCGTGCCCTCTGCCCGTCCCTCTTGCGGCCGCGCCTCGCGGCGGCCGGCGGTTTTGGATTGCGCCCGTACGCCCGAACGCACGGGGCCGGCAAGAGAGAGGAGTGTCGAAGAACCCGGGAGGGGGGCGGCCGCGCGGCACCCCCTGCATGCCCAGCCAAGCCCCAGGCCCGCGGGGTGCTTCGCGGCAGCCCCCCTCCCAACACAGAGATATAGGAACTCCCCACCCCGCCAGCGTTGGTAGAGGCAGCAGCACCAGCACCACCAGCCCCTCATGTCGGCACGGACGGCCCCGCGCGCAGCGCTCACGCCTCGGCGGCGCCGGGCGCCCTGGGCTTGCCCTGTGTGCCGCCGCCGCCGGCCGCCGTCCACCTGCGCCCCGTTGTCTGTCCAGCCCGATGTCTGATGCGCCGCACGTTGGGGGTCGTCGGGCCCAGCCCCGCAAAGTGTCCCCCGCCGTGAGCCCAGTCGTGCGCGCATCGCCTTTGTGGGGCGCCGCCCTGGTCCCTGGCCCCCTCTGTTGTTATTACGGCGGCGACCGCAGGCCAGCAGCCCTGCAGGCGCGCGCCGGGGGGCGAGGTGCCGAGCGCCTGTGCCGCCCCGGCCGCGAGTTGTATGCTTACCGTTTCGCTCAATCTTTCCTCAGAACCTCATCTGAACCCTCTATTCCCCGCCCAAAGCGCGCGGCGGCGGCCTTGCGCCAGCCACGTGGCGAGCGCGCGCGGGCGCCCTCGTGTCCCAATGGCGCCCGCCCGCCGCGCCGCGCAGCAGGCGCGGCCCCGCCGCGGCTCCGCGCCCCCCTATGTGCCGCCCACCTTTTCCTTGCCCCGCAGCATCCCGCGGGTGCAAGCATGCCGCGAGGCCTGCATATCAGCCCTGACGCACTGCCATTCCAACGTGTGTCGATGCATGTGACGCCCAAGCCTTTTACCTTCCCCCCCACCCCACTTGCCCTGGGATCGGGGTCTGCAAAACGGCTGGAGTTGTGCAGTCAAGCATTACGTGGCATGAAAAGGGCCCGTCATCATCGGGTGTGCGAGGCGCCGCTTGCTCAGCGGCGCCAGCGCGGCGTAAGGCACCGCAACAAAAGCACAGTGCAGCCAGGTGGCCTCTGGCGCTCCCTTGGCAGACTGACTGTAGACCCCGGCTTGGAAATACATCACAACACACAACATGACATCATGCTTTGCCAGCAGCGAGGGGCGAACCACAAGGTGCAGACTATTGGAAGAGGCGGGTGAAAGCACAAAGCAGGCAGCACTGTATAGCAAGGTTGAGTGTCAAGGTTGCCGATGGGCATGTAAGGGGGACTAATGGTCCTTGATTCACCGTACCCGGGCCGTGCCGTGGCCGTGCCCAGGCCGCGCCTCACAGCAAGCGCCGCCCCTCCCCTCAGGCGCCTGAGCAGCCCGCCGGCGTCGCGCCGCCCGCGCCCTGCGACAGTATGCAGTCTGGCCCAAACACCGCGAGGGTGCCCATCCCCCAGTTGAGCACGAGCGCCTCGGGGCGCGACTTGGCGAGCAGCGCTGACGTCATCGGCATGGCGCGACCCTCGACGCGTGTGTAGTGCTGCAGGGCAACCTGCAGGCGTGCCGGTAAACTGAAATATTCTGCCGGCTTCGAGAAACGGATAGAGGCCACTCTGCACTCCAAACAACGACGCCTGCGGCTGGAGGAGCGCAGGCAAACGCAGCAGACCCGCAACCCCCCCTGGCGGACACATGCCTCGAGGGGGTCACCCTCAGGCCTCTGGAAGGGTGCAGGGCAGGAGGCTCTGGGGCGGCACATCAAATGTTGGCCGCCCGCTCACTCACCTCGAAATTGGCGTCCTTGAAGTCGTTTCGCGTGGGGTTGCTCTGGATGTACCGGAGCCGCGCCCCCTGCAGCGCAGCCGGCCGCAAGCCCAGCAGCACCGCCGCGTGCAGCTCCAGCGCCGCAGCCAGGGGCGGCAGCGCCATGCCGGCCTGCAGGGGGCTCCTGGGGCGGACGCGAACCAGTGTGCGGGCACGCATGGATGAAACGAGATGAGGTTGCGGCGGCGGGTGGAGGGCGCCGACATGGCACCAGCCCAGATGGTGAAAAGACGTGGGTGCAGCAGTAATTTGGCAGCGGTGGGTTTGGGGCCGGCCTGCGCTCAGCAGGTTGTGCGGGCGCACTCCGCTACACAAACGCCTCGACACCGCCCGCGTCAGCCTCGGCAAGGCCGACCTCCACAGGAGTGGGCGCTGCCGCCTGGCTGGACACATTCAAGCCCGGCCGCACCCCCTCCCCTGGGCTCCGATGCGCCCTGCCTGTATTCGAAGAGGTCTATGGAGCCGTTGGTCTGGTGGTAGAGCAACGACGCCACCGCCACCAACCCCGCGATGCCAAACTGGCCTGCGGGAGGGTGGGAGCAGTTGTATTGAAAAGGGGTCGGAAGGGGGAGGCCAGGGGCGCGGCCAGGAGGTTGGGTTTGCAAAGGTGGCGCGGAAAGGGGACGCGCCCGTCAGAGGTGGGGTGTGGAGGGGCGACGAGGGCGGGGCCTAATGAGCATGCGCGCAGCCGGCAGAAACGAGGTCCTGCCCTTGCTGGCGGCAGGGGCAACACGCGGGTGCATGAGGTAGCATCTGGCGGCTTCGAAACCAGGCATTCACGGTAGCCCCCTCCCACCTGATTATGGTTGATTTTTGAAAGTCTCAAGCCCTGCACGCCCGGTCCCATGACCCCCCCTC